TAATGCATTTACCTGTGAATGTCTGCACTCATTCACTGAAACTATCCCAAGGTTAATTCATGCATCAACTCATCGACCGACGCGTAGAGTGAATTCTTTCTGCGTCTTTCTTGCCTGTTTCCTTCAAGTTAATTATATTCCTCCCTATTTATTCATCAGTAAGTTATGAGGGGAACTTGATTTTCTTTGATCGTGGTGTGTACCACTGTGTACTTGTACCACCTGTGTTACTTATGCTCCACGAATACCCAACTGCAGCAGGCAGGAAATGGGAAGGAACAGAGGACTTTAGGTACTGTATCTATAATTTAGCCAACAGAACCTGGTCTATTTTTAGCCCACAGCTACTTCTGTGTCATGTGGGGATAGTTAATCAAGTGCCTGGCCTTTTTTCTCAGCTGAGTGTTACAGCAACAAAAGATCACTGCACTAATGTATGCACTGCTTCTTTTCCTGTCTCCTATTTGCAAGTTTATTCTTAGCTCTTGTAATCCTGTAATCTCCCTCTTGTACTCTGGGCACTACACGCTCCGATAATTCTCTGTGAATCTCCCTTTACTACGTTTAAGTTCAAAATAAATTGCGTAATAGAGGGAATTCTCAATAAATATACAGAAGTAGTTTGGAGATAAATTGATTCTCACATTTTTTGTGCTGTTTCTTAACATGTGAAGTTGTTCAAAAAGACTGGAAGAAAAAGAGTCATTTAACTCCTCCATTTTGTTTTAATTTAAATTCCCTAACACCCCCATCCCTTTGTTTATCGCATTTAACTCCTCCATTTTGTTTTAACTTAAATTAGGGAATTTAACTTAAATTCCCTAACACCCCCTGTGTTAGGGCTGTGTGTGCTCGTACAGTAGCTGTGGGTTTTTGACACATTATTTGGGCAAAGTCTCATCTTCTATTTTCATCAACCTTTACCATGTTCTCTCTAACTACCTCTCTCCTGATTGGCTTTTTCATTTCTACTTGATCTCTCCTCTGATCATTTCCAACCTCATACCTCCAAACACTCCTTCTTCCTTCCTGTCTCCACAATCTTCCCTACTGCCTCTCAGCTACACCCACTTCAGCCAAGGGTGCTATTATTACATTCACTAAAGAGTTTACTGTTCCATCAGTCTTTGATATTTCTATTTTTCCATCTTTCTTTGCGCAGAACAGCTCAAAAGGAATTTCTGTCAAAAAGCCACGCAGAGACATATTCAGTAAATAATGTATGGGCTGTACTGAGTGTCTTTCTGCCCTGATCATACACACATGTTTATGACAAACACACACTTTACACACTGTGTGTGTTTACACCCATTTAATTTAAGTCCTAAAAATGACCTGATTATATTAAATAACACACGATTAGTCTGTGGCCATAAATATTTCCTGTGACCCGCCCCCCCCAC